ATTTCTTGGCATTAGTAGCGGAGAAAGTCTTTCCAGTTTGTGGCTTAGGCTTCTTCTGGTGAGGTAAATTAGCACTTTTACCACCAATAATATACTTTATGAGAGTGTTAAAAGACTCATAAAAAAAAGTTCTCAATCAATAGCCATGCTAAGCAAGCGTTGTTTCACTGCTCTAGCAGCTCTGAGCTCCGGACGAAAGGAAGGATTAGTAAGGTCTGCACCAGACCTTACTAATCACCACTGAATAACCAGGGGTTATGCAAGTGATGTTATTTTTTATGTTATCTGCAGACCAACATTTTACCCAAAGAGTTCTTTGCATATTCACTGATAGCTAATCTTGCCATAACCCTGCTGACTTGCTGTAGGTGTATGATCTTGGTTATATGCAAGCATCCCTCCAGTCAGATTTTGATAATTAGGAAAATAGCACCATGACCATAGAAAGAAGGGACATCAGGTAGTGAACAGAAAGAAGCAGTGATGTTCCAGCAAATGAATCTTGCAACAAAGTGGGCACCAGCGATGAGGAGGTGGTGGATAATGAGGAGGCAGGCCATCAGTGGGTGTCCCCAATTGGAGACGAGGAAAGTTTGAGGGAGAGGCTAAACAACAGCAAGGGAGAAATTTGTCAGGGGGCAGCTTTCAAAAGACTGGAGGGAACAGCCATATTATTTCATCTTGTTGCACTGCCCTACAGGTAGAGGACACTGACATCCTCAGTCTGCGGCCGGGAGGCAGCGGTAGTAGATGTGGGTGGCGTAGGGGTTATCGGAGGACCTAATTTTGGAAGACAAGCAGACAGAGACTTCTGCTCGGTTCATGCCTTTTCCGCTTTTTCGCTTCCTCAAACTGTGTGGCCATCAGCCTGATTGACTTAAACACCTCGTTTATGTTGTGTTTTTCTTCCTTTTTCTTACCCCTAAAACTCAATATTGGGATTTGACCGACATAGTACCCTACCTATTTTTAGGGGGGACTACGCAGGGACGTAGCTCGACCAGACCCGCCCAGACACATATACACATCAGAGCACAAAAAATGATACCTCCTGTACCTGAAGAAGCGCCTGGGTGCGCGAAACGTCGTATCAGCTCCTCCATTTATGAACCTCCACCAACTCCATACAGCATTTAAGCTTCTAGTGAATTGTTATCCCTTATCCTTGATCGTCTGTAATATCAGATTGTTTCTTAAACTATGCACTTATTTTGTTATGACTTAATCATGCTGTAGGAAGGGGACATATGGAGAGAGCACACAGGGAGCGATCTAATTAGCTGTTTTTAATTTGGATTGCATATCTAGCCTTTGTTTTAAATGAATTGAATTAAAACTAACTTTTTTATATGAATTTCTTTGTGGAGTAAGTTCGTTTGGTGCTCTCAAAACCCCACTTTCTGTCCTTGTCGAACAGCGATGAGGAGGTGGTGGATAATGAGGAGGCAGGCCATCAGTGGGTGTCCCGAATTGGAGAGGAGGAAAGTTTGAGGGAGAGGCTAAACAACAGCAAGGGAGAAATTTGTCAGGGGCAGCTTTCAAAAGACTGGAGGGAACAGCCATATTATTTCATCTTGTTGCACTGCCCTACAGGTAGAGGACACTGACATCCCCAGAGCTGGTCCACATTGCTTTTTCGGCCATTATACACATATTTGCTGCCGACAGCACATTGTGGTTTGCAGCTTCTGCCTGTAACAGCCAATTTGGTGCTACATGGATGAGAAAATACATAACTCAACCAAAGAGCTGCACCAAAGAGCTTGAAGGAGCAGCACCTCAATGAGACAAGTTGGCAGCAAAAGGCCTGAACTCCTCCCTTTCCTCGCCCCCCCCCACACAAAATTCTTCTGTTGCATCTATTGCAACATGTTTGGCCTCTAGTGGCAGGGAAGGAAGTCTCACAAGGAGTTTCAGAGGCTGAGAATATGTTACATCAAGCAGGAAAGAGGGTCATGGGGTCACACAGAATTCTCCTACATCCACACCGCCATCTCCATTAGCAGCCATCCCTGGGCTGCTGGAGTGGAAGAAAAACATGTCTTTAATCACCCCTATGCCCAGTGTCTTAATGCCAGCTTGGCAAAACTGCTAGCTTTGCAACTGCTCCCTTTTCAGCTCGTTGAATCAGACGCCTTCTGTGAGTTTATGGCTTGTGCTACACCACAGTGGCAGGTACCTAGCTGCCATTATTTTGCCCAGAAGGATGTCCCTGCTGGCCTCCTAGCAACCAATGACACATCCCCGGCCCCATTCACATGCTTGCCAGGAAGCTGCCTTTTGTGACAAGAGTTCCACCAGGAGATAGTGGATCATGTAGGTGGGTTGCATTGTTATCCCAGTGGGTCTGCGGAAATGGTGTTCATCATGGTTGGTGATGGATCTACATCACTGGACAATGGGATTGACAATGAACTTGCACTGTGGGATGTGTTTTTTTTTGTTATTTTTGAATAACATACTTTGTTAATGGTGTATGTGCTTATTTACACTTGAACTTTTATTTTTGAATGAATAACTATGTACCCTTTACTCATTTATGTAGGGGGGCGAGCCAGATATCTTGGGGCCCCCGTATCTTAAAGGGGGCTTCCATATTCCGATAAGTGCCCCACACAGATCTCCACATCTTTTTGATGAGTGGATGCGGAGATGAGGCCCTTGTCCTTATCAACATGGGAATAAGGTGCATTGCCAGGGAAGAGCTTTGCTTTGGGACATCACAGACATAAAGAAGATCTAATTGCACAGCACAGGGGGTGTCTGTTAAGTAATTTATCCTCACAGATCACAACAGAGTCTCTGAAGCTGGTTTCTAGACATGTGCGATTTGTTTTGTTCCGAATTTAAATCCTGATGAATATCAGCATATTCGGATGCATCCATATTTCTGAATGAAAGAAATAACGAATTTGAACATATCCAAAAATGTTTCCATAGGTCATTTATGTTGTTAAACATTAAAATTAAAAAAATTAAAACAGTGTGGTGTCCCCTCCCCAATTCATACCACACCCTTTAGGCCTGGTAGGAATTTTAGGGGGGACCCCAAGGCCCAAAAAACATAAAAAGTGTGTGGTCCCTTGATCCAAGCAGCAACCTGGCAAAGCAGGAAAGGGGGGGGGGGTGAGCATGTGCCTCCCCCCCCCACATCATACCAGGCCACATGCCCTCAACATGGGGAGGATCACCCCCTGGCAGAGCACCTTGTCCCCATGTCAATGAGGACTAGGGGCTCTACCTCACAACCCTGGCCCAGTGGTTGTGGGGGTCTGCGGGCAGGGGAGCTTATAGAAATCTGGGTGCCCCTAAGTGCCAACTCAGGTGCCGCCCCCCCCTCGTGAATGAGTAAGGGGTAGTTCTCACCCCTACTCATTCACCAAATAACAGTAAAATAGTAAATAAACACAGAACTCCGTAGTACAAAGTAATTTATTTAAAAAAAACAACAACACAAGGCATTTATTAAAAAAAAAATATATATATATCCATCGATGTAATCCACAGGTCAATCACGTCGTTCAGCGATGTCGATCCATGTCACTTTTCTGCAGCTCCACATCAATCACAATGGACAACATCTGCCAACTCAAAAGAAAGAAAACATTTCGGAAGCCCGGCGACACGTACGATCCATTCCATTAGGCGACTGAGAGTGGTCACAGAATGTAAACAAATCCACGGCCGTCGTCCATCATGATCGACATGGATCTACATCTCTGGATAACGTAACTGACTTTTGGATGGACATTTTTTGGTCTTTTTTTATGGTGTGGTGTTTTTATTTACTACTTTACTGTATTTTTAGAGCCTCTTCAAAAACCCTTTAAGAAACAAGATGTCATCAGCACACCAGAGAAATATGTTTAATTTACACATAGACATATTGTCACAAGGATAGCAACGTTTCGGGGCTTCACAGATGAAGGGACCCTGCATGGCCCCATGTCTATGCCTCAGCAAAAGTTTGTTTGGACACATTTCTCCGGTGTGCAGGTAACATCTTGTTTCTTCACTGATCTGAGTGGCGCCATCCACAATCATTTCAGCACCCATCATTAGGTGGTTTGCTGGTAACGATTGCAGTGGGTTATCCACTGATCTTCAAAAACCTTTGGCACAGGATATTAGCCACAGAGGGAGTGAGAAGAAGTAGTATAGCACAACTATTGGGTAGCACTGCAAAGCCGAAATCACAGATTGTGTAAGTAATAAGTATATATACCTGTGTGTAGATTATTACAAACTTTACATAGAAACACTTTTTTTAAATGTTGGCAAAAACTGAAAATGTTTTTACTTAAAGTTGCTAACTTTCCTATTCATACCTAATAAAACTTTGAAAGAATGATATATTCCTTTTAAAACAACCTGAAATAAAGTCCCAAAAAATAATGCAAAAAAAAAAAATGTAAATACTGCAAAATGTTTCTTATTGAATCTTAAATATAATGATTTAGTGCATACCATCTTTCGTATACACTTATATTTTCATTAATCAGCCTTGTACTTTTAACCTGTACAGGATCCAGTAAGTAGATGAAATCGTCTCTCATACGGAGACAGCATTTTGGACAATCCCATGACTTTGGGCACCGGCAGAATTCCAGGAACATCTTCAACCAACTGATCTTGGTGGAGAATTGATTTGTTCAGCTGATCAATATTTTATTTTTGTAAAATTGCTGACGCCAGCAATGTCCTTCTGAACTCCCTTTCATTTCATTGCCATAAACGTACACAATCCAGTCATATGAAGGTGCATGTTTATAGAAAGATCTTACAACAAAGATCTTTTAGAGGTGTGATCCTGCCCAAATGTTTAAATACACTCTGATGTCCATAGCCAAAATAAGAATGGGGGCATAGCAGAATTGATTCAATTTATAATGTATCAGAACATGAGCAAACCATTATATATTCACAAGGGCTGCTTAACACATTCTCAGTTATCTTCTGGTAGCAAAATGGTTAACAGAAAAAAGATCCCAGATGTTTACCTGCTAAAGCTGTCTCTTCTTTTTCTCTTCAATCTGTTCTTTGCTGGGATAGTACTGGCCAGAGCCAGCTGCCCACAGTCTTGTGTGCTTGGCTCCATTTTAATACGCTGGCTACCCACGATGCTCTGGGAGCTGATGTCAGCGCATCAGCAGGCTCCCTGGAGCGTGTCTGAACGGAGCCCATTATAGTGACGATTTGAAGACAGGTTTTTAAAAACAATAGTGACAGAATTAAACAAATGAATGGCGCGCATGGCTAGGTCCTTAGCTGTTCTTTTCCAAACAAAAGAGAATGCACATATGGAGAAAGGCATGCTTTAATTAATCCGATGATCCCTTAAAGCTACACTCCCACTTACTACTGACATCCTCTGGTGCTGCCTTACAGGAGAAAATATCATGCAGTTTAACACCTTCTAGGGTTTCATTAATATGACATATTATTTTTACTAACACCTTTTACAGTTACTATTAGAATTTTAATATTGTAATACAAACTTGAATCTACATTTCATTTAAGTGAAGTATTTTTTTTATATTATAAAGTGTACAGTGCAGTTAATTATATTTAAGGAGACAATTTGTCTACTGTGTAATATAATTTATATTATACAGTGTACAGTGCAGTATATTATATATAAGGAGACACAATTGTCTACTGTATAATATAATTTGTATTATAAAGTGTACAGTGCAGTATATTATATATAAGGAGACATAATTGTCTACTGTATAATATAATTAATATTATAAAGTGTACAGTACAGTATGTTATATATGGAGGCAGAGAGCTGGCTTGAACTAATGTTAATACTGACACTGGTAAAGATGAATATATTGCTTATTGTTTATATATATTTTGGCTGATACAATCATAAATTATATAAATATTAATACTGATATTAATTAATATTAACATGATCAGAGACTAGCTGTTTACATCAAGTTGGAGAGACTGTCCTAAAAATAGCTAATTTGCTGAACATGTTATACTAAAACTACCAAATGCATTACTAATCAGTACTGTTATGGACAATGCAGCCACCTCCTGGAGAAAATACAAGATACACAGAAAATGGTACTACACAGTAACAAGATCAGTTTTTACTTTTTAAAAACTGTAAGGAAAACAAAATGAAAAAAGAAATGGCAATTTGTTCATGTCCTAACATCAAACGCTGATATTTGTGTGTGAAGTTTCTGGTAGGTTTAATCATATTGATGGGTTTTTACATCTCACGGGGGTCAAGGTTTGACATATCCCAACATAAACTGCCATATCCACCAAACTGCTACAGATATTGCAAAGCCAAATTATGGTGTTACTCTGTTCCAAATGATTCCTCCTAATGCAGAAAAACAAATTTACCAGAAATGGAGTTGCTAGAGAGCAACATCTTTGTTAGTCTATTGTAAGAAAGTGCAATAGCCAGCTTGCTATTGGATATTGCAAATTGAAATAGCCAATAGGAATCTAACTATTCATTCCTGTGCTTTTTTTTTTTTTATTATTATTCTGACGGCAGCAGAATACTAAAACCTGCAGATAGCAAAGAAGCTATTGCTTCCTCTGCTATCTGCCATCATTTCAGGGGGGTGCTCTCTCTCTTGGGGGGGTGGGCATAGGGCACCTCCCTGAAATGAGAAGGGCACCTCCCTGAAATTGCTTCTTTCAGGTTGGGATCCCTGCTATACACACATACATATATTGTTTTTAGTTTTTAGTTTCGGTGGAAGGTGATGTAGATGGATACGGGGGGCCTGGGTCAGGAAGTGGTGGGCGGGTTGTGGGGGCCCATCAGCAAAATCTTGCCCAGGGTCCACTTAATATTAAAGACGGCCCTGGGTATGTGACTGGCAGAGGACAGAAATTAGTCAATCAACACCAGAACTCTGGGGTTTTAGGACCTACATATCCAAGTCCAGACACTCAAAGGTTGCAAACCTGAGACCAGTATGAACAGATGTGTGAAAAGTCCCGAACAGTTGAACTACATCAGCAAGTGATTCAGAACATCTGTGGCATGCCACACTAGACAGCATACCCATGTGGTGCAGCTTCGCAGGTGTGTAGTATAACTGATGAATACATTTACATTGAATAAGTTGATCTGCAGTGCTAATTACCTATGTGAACCAAACATGTTCCAAATCCCAGAGGGCTTCACTCAAAGATGGGAGGATGCAAGTCCATTTACAACAAGTTGTCTTGTCAGCTCAGAATAAACTACTTTGGGTGTTTCTTTTTTTGCAATGGGAGATAGGGATAAAAAGGTCAGCGCCCCCGGCCATTTTTTCCCTAATTTTCAATGAGATTTGTGTTGTGTTGTTCTTCAACCAGTGTTGCATATGTAGCTGCTGAAAAAATAGTTTACATAGGCTGCTTTTGTAAACGTATGCTTTTTTTCTAATTCCAACTTAGATTTAAAGGTCTTCCTATAGGGGGAAATGTGGCATACAAAAGCACCTCTAGTCACAGCCTCCAACACACACTGACAAAAGGCTGAAAATACAATAAACCCCATGACTGACTTTTGTAAGTCACCTGACCACAGTTCAGGGGCCAGGAAGTTCATTATTGGTTACTGGTAGTTATGGTGGTGACGGCCACCTTAATTTAAAATTTTCCTAAACTGCAAACAACTTGAGTTCAGGTTGAACTCATGTTAGAGTTGCCGCAGCGGAGTTGAGTATAGTTCCACATTAACCTGCAAGCCTGATAACATAAAAGGTTTACATTAATCTTTCCAAAAGTTAAATTCCAGCCAAAACTTTTTTTGCTTTTGACAAAGTGATGGTAAATTTCTCCAGGCAGGATACTACTTTTTTGGTAAAAGGGAAAAGAGTTTCATTCTCTTTCAGGGATTTATAATTGTGTGTTCCTGCCTTGATGACAACAGCTCCCCTCATTATTTGTCTTGGTGTCACAAGCTGTCACAGGAACAGGAGGTGATGTGAAATCTGACTCTCAGAATCAAGGAAAAGAAACTTTATAGAAATGTTAACCCTTCCCGAGTATATAATAAAAGGTTTTGAAGTTGGGCCTTAAATTCACTGGGTAGTTTTAACATTTTGACAACCTATTATTTCAAAGTCAAACTTAAAGGAGCATTATGAGGTGAATGAAATACACTCATCCCCATAATTAGAGCCAAGGTATGATGCTGCAGCTGTCACGCGTCAGCTCTATTGTTTGGGAACTGAGTGATCATATAGCGCTGATCACTCAGTTCCCAATCTTCCTGCAGAGAGCAGTATCAGTCTTAGAGCAGAATAGAGAATTATGGCAAAAAAAGGTTGGGCCAAAGTTCTCATTAAATGTTATCAAGTCTTTACAACTGTAAAAAAAAAAGAGCAGTTCCAGTTGAAAGAAAATGAGTAGCATTTTTGTATATTTTTTTTGCTTACATCGTATTTTTTAATCATCTATCATATTAAGACTACAAAAAAATACAACTTATTATATTTCATTTTTTAATCAGGTAAGTATGAAATATTCTATGTAAATATTTATTATTTTTAGTTGCATGCAAAGCCTCAGTCTCCTTTGTACATGTTAACCAGTTTGTTCCTGTTCATGTTAGCCACTCTGTTAAAAAAATGCCTGTTGTTTACAGAGCCAAATAGACCAAGCTCCAATTTACACACACAGCTAAATGAGGCAGATAAATAACTTGTCCTCTCCTTCCCCTTCTTGCCTCCTCTATTTAGAAAGACCATTTAGAGTTTTAATTAGAAAGAGAAAAACTGCTTTTTCTGCTCTCCATTCTTTGAAAACCCATGATACTCTGTATCCAGTCTTATGAGTGTAGATTGCATCAAATGTTTATTTTAAAATAAACATTAGATGCAATGTTTATTTTAAAATAAAATTCCATACACATTATTCTGGGCTTCCATTTCCTGTAACTGTCATTTGCTGTCATTTAAATTGCATGGCTATAGTAGGCTGTATACATGAGCAGATGTGCCACTTCACAGGCAGGTGCAGGGCATCCCCCAACCATATTATTAATTACATATTATTAAAATCATTGCTTCCAGCCAAACTGATTTTTTTTTTGTTTGCTTTGGTACATGTCCTATAGAGTATTGCCTAGTGACCTATGCATTTTGTTAATACCTTGCCCATTAGCCTACACAATAGAAAGAATTGATTTGGAAGAGTGGCCTCCCACTTTTCAGCATGTTCGCTGAACGCACCCACTAAATAAACCTGAGCAAGTTCACCCCATCAAAAGAGAGAACGTTTAACAGAAAAGTTGGAGACATCAAGAGTAGACTAGGATTTGCAATGTAGTACTAACCTTTTGGTGGCATGTCCAAATATATGTAATATATTTGTTTCAGGCTTCCTACATTGAAGCTTGTCATGTTTATCTAAAAGGAAGCTGGTAAAATGTATTTTTAAAATTCATATCTGTGTTTTTTAAAATCATTTTTAAAGTTTGAAATGTAAATAGGAGAACAGATATACATTGTACCAAAAAGTGATCGGTAAAAGTAATTTTTAGAAACAAACATAAGTTACGTAAATGTTGGAAACGAAAACTTTGGCACAATTCAAGTAGGTATGCATCAGTATTCACCTAATATAAAGGGATGTAAGAACTGCAGTATTCTGTTCTGGCATCCTTCAAGTAGTTGTGATAATTGTTATTAGTTGTTCAGAGTGAACCATGGAGTTTCCATTAGTATTTGTATTATGGTGTTATCTAAACATTTTGTATGTTGCTAATCATTGTTGGGGGTCCAGTACAAAACAACAGATGAAGCTAGGATAAAGGGGGCAAAACTATTTAGAGGAGATGGGGTGGAACAAATTGATGTCAACGTAAGGAGTAGAGGTAAATTTAGTATCATACAGAGTATCTAATGAAGTTGGGGGTTAAGGGATTAGGACTAACTGGTGTTTGTAAAATGGTCCAAGCAATCCCATACTTTGTTGTTTATTTTCATGTTATTGCGGATACTGGCAGTAAGGGTTTCTATCAGTTTATTTATTTAGTCAATGTATGTTTTTTATATAGTTATAAAAGTCTACTAATGAAGGAGGGGCAATCTGTTTCCCTTATAGTCCTAAAAGGCAGCAAGCTGCTGCAA